TTTGGGCCCCCCCCCCCCCGCATCCTGCTACCCATTTCATCTGGTGCTACCACAGACTTGGTGGCTGACATAAGCCAGTCTTCGGGAGAACGGAGAGGGAAGTAAGCCCGGTGAGGGGAAGTGCTGGAGAGGTAGCTGAGCTTCATCCTCCCATCCTGCCCGCGTCTGTCTCTCTTACATCCTTTCCCATATCCAACAGGTCATCTACATGGGTGTTGTGCTCTATGCGCCATCCTTGGCCCTCAATGCAGGTGAGGAGTCACAGCCCCTGGCTTCCGGCTGTGGCAGGCTGGAAAATACCTTTGGGAGGGGAGGTGCTCCAGAAAGCATTGCCCTGGACAAGGAGTGAATTCACTGCGTGCGCCCCTGGAGTTGGTCCCGTGGTTTGCTTCATTTCAGAGTTGAGACACTACCATGCTTCATGTTAATCGGTACCTCTCAGTAGAGCCCTGCACACATTTCCCCTTCCGCTCTGGCAAATGGTTTATTTCATTTTTAGTAGCTAATTGCTTCATCTCTATGACCAGCCATAGCTGCCCCTGTCAGGGCTTCTCTGGCTTCTCCCTTGGGAGGCCTTCTTTGAGAGATCAGAGTGTGATTTCTCTGTTTACAGTGACGGGCTTTGATCTGTGGCTCTCAGTGCTGACCCTGGGCATTATCTGTGCCATCTACACTGCACTGGTAAGTCAGTGAGCCCTGAGGAATAGAGGGGAGATGGGAGGAGAAGAGAAAGAAGGGCCGAGATGAGAATACAGGCAGGATGTCAGGCGTGGTGGCGCACGTCTGTAATCCCAGCATGCTGGGAGGCTGAGGCAGGAGAATCGCTGTGAGTTTGAGACCAGCCTGGGCTTCATAGTGAGTTCAAGGGCCATCTCAACTACATAGTGAGACCCTGTCTCAAAAACAACAACAACAAAAAGAATATAGGTAGGATGCCTGGCGTGGTGGCACACACCTCTAATCCCAGCACTCGGGAGGCTGAGGCGGGAGGATCACCAAGAGCTCAAGGCCAGGCTGAACTACATAGTGAGAGCAGCCTAAACCACATGGAGAGACTCTGCCTCAAACAAAACAAAACACAACACAGTATATGCAAATGAATGAGAATATAGGTAGGAGGTGGGATGAAATTCTCGGGTAGAGTGGAGTATGGTGAGGTTTAGGGTGAGACGTGGGACAAAGGATGGCCGTGAAGGCCGAGAACAGGGGAGAAGTCTCAGTGATGGTGGCCCTGACGGCAGGGTAGCCAGCCCCTCGTGGTAGGGTGGTGAGCTCCTGTGGACAGCCTGGGAGACATTTGGGGCCAGTGTGCTATCTTTTCCCTGCAGGGGGGGCTGAAGGCCGTCATCTGGACAGATGTGTTCCAGACGCTGGTCATGTTCCTAGGGCAGGTGGCCGTTATTATTGTGGGGTCAGCCAAAGTGGGCGGCATGGGGCGTGTGTGGGATGTGGCCTCCCAGCACGGCCTCATCTCTGGGATCGAGTAAGTACTCCCTTCCCCTGGCTGGGTGCTGCTGTGCCTGGGAGCTGAGCCCATCCTAGAACCCAGTCAAAGGGCTGCAGTAAGCAGAGGGCAAGCTGGGAGGCGTTGGGTACAACACTATGTGGGTGGGAAGCTGGCACTGGAAAGAGGCGGAGTGATCACAGGTGGCAGCTGGCGTTTGTGGAGGGTGGAGATGAGGACCTGGGATGAGACTGAGTGGAGAAATAGAAGCCTCCCTTTAGCTTGCTGTGCTGTCTCTTGGGTCCACCCAGCTCCCCTTGGCCTAGCAGTGGTGTCTGCTCTGCTCCCCGCTTAACCCTCTTGCCAGGAGGACAGGAAGGCTGAGTTGGACTCTGAGGCTATGGCACAGTGACCTGGTGTATCTGTTGCAGGCTGAATCCAGACCCCTTTGTGCGGCACACCTTCTGGACCTTGGCCTTCGGGGGTGTCTTCATGATGTTGTCCTTGTATGGGGTGAACCAGGCTCAGGTGCAGCGCTACCTCAGTTCCCACACAGAGAAGGCTGCTGTGCTGTGAGTGCAGGAACAGGAGGTGGAGCAAGGGCTATGCAGGGCTTCCCAGTGGGCAGTTGGGGTGAGGCAGGTGCACGTGTGCCCACTGGGGCCGGGACATGAGGCTCCTTTCTGAAGGCTCAAGTCTGAACACTGTCTCTCCTGGGCACTGGCCTCTCTTGCAGTTCCTGCTACGCAGTGTTTCCCTGCCAGCAGATAGCACTCTGCGTGAGCTGCCTCATTGGCCTCGTCATGTTCGCCTATTACCAGGAGTTTCCTCTGAGCAACCAGCAGGCTCAGGCAGCCCCTGACCAGGTGAGAAGGCCGTTCAGGGTCCTTGCTGTGCCTGTGGGAGGCCAGCTTGGGCCGGGAGTGGAGTGTCTGCGTGGCTCCAGAAAGGACTCGCAGCCTGGGTGGATGGTGGGTGTACACTCCCGCCCACGCTGAGATCCCAGCTATCTAGCATGCTCATCCCAGCCCCAGGCATCGCCTAGTCAGTGCTCGCCCTTCTTGGGTGTGAGGATCTAGTGTTACGGACTTTGCACTGTGCATCATGTGCTCTGCCGGGTGCTGGCACATGCCTGTTCTCTTCTAAGCCTCCTGGCAACCTCCGGATTTTATAGATAAGAAACAGGCTTAGCCGAGTGGGCAATGCGCTGATGTCACACTGCTGGTCAGGGGCAGAGCTCTTCTGCAGAGCCCATTTCCTCTGATTGTTGGAGAGGTCAACGGACTGGCTGGGGTGCATGTGTGCAGGGAGGGACCACAAAGGGAGGCAGCCTCCCAAGGAGAGCTGTGCTCTGCCTTGCTCTGCCTGCAGTTCGTCCTCTACTTTGTGATGGACCTCCTGAAAGGCCTTCCGGGCCTGCCTGGGCTCTTTGTTGCCTGCCTCTTCAGCGGCTCCCTCAGGTACCCCTTTAACTGTCTTTGGGATGGTAGTTGGGAGAGGTGGGCTTGGATCCTCAGGCAATCCATTGCAGCACACAGACAAGGGACAGCTTATCTGTAAGACAGCACAGCCTCTCAAGGTAGGTCCCTATTTCAGTTAAAGGTTATTCTTCCACAATGCCAGGAATAAATCCACTGAACAAACTGGTATTCTTGTCAGAAGACGGCAGTGTCCTTGCCCTCCAGGCTTCCTCTGAGGGGCTATGCCTGAGGCTGTGAGCGTGGTTTCTTGGATGCCCACCTCATCTCTGTGCCTTTGGGGCACTGCTACCTCCAGAGTCCTCTGTTAGTTCTGCTCTCAGCTCCCAGAAGCAATTCTGCTTATCATACTCTTTTTCCTTTCAGCACCATATCCTCTGCTTTTAACTCATTGGCAACTGTCACAATGGAAGACCTGATTCAGCCCTGGTTCCCTGAGTTCTGTGAAACCCGGGCCATTGTGCTTTCCAGAAGCCTTGGTGAGATTATTCTGCGTATCTTCAGTTTTGTTCATTCTGAGATATCCCCTGACCACTACCGTCAGGGTGCTGCTAAACAGCACACTTCATCTTGGGCTCAGCACTTGCCTGTTGAAGCAGGCAGCCTCACTCCATGCCTGTTTGTGGCTTGACATTTCCGGGGGAGGATTTTGAGTCACAAGGGAGTGAGGACAGGTGGAGGGATCTGGAGCCGGGACAGGAGGTCGTAGGCCCTCTTTGTAGGGACACAGAGCCATGGTTTGGGGGGGCGGGTGCTTCTACTTTGTTCCCCTTTTTCTAGTGTTTATTCACATCTGCTTGTTTCTTCCCTTCTGCTTTTCCCCAGCCTTTGGCTATGGGCTGCTTTGTTTGGGAATGGCCTATATTTCCTCCCAGATGGGACCCTTGCTGCAGGTAATGGCTATGGAAGGGAGAAAGTACTTTATAAGGGTGGGAAGAAATTGATTAAAACAGGAAAGTGAGGACTGCAGCTGTGTTCAGGAGGGTGGCTTAAGGGTCAGGTTCAGAGATTCCCCTCTCTGAACACCCTTTACCTGTGAAGAACTGTCGTGTGACCAAAAGCCCGGGGTCATTTCTGGGAGGATGTTGGCTCTGAGATGGAAACCGAGTGCATGCCTTTAGCCATTCCTGTCCTCTGGAATTGACCCAGATAGTAGAGGCAGACAGCTGATGAGTGAGACTCTGAGGCAGTTGCTGGTGGCTGTGCTCTGTCAGTGAGGCTGGCTTCACTGAGCCCAGTGTTCTTTTGTCTTTTTTTTCTCACCCTGTCCTTCCCAGGCAGCAATCAGTATCTTTGGCATGGTCGGGGGGCCACTACTTGGACTCTTCTGCCTTGGGATGTTCTTCCCTTGTGCCAACCCTCCTGTGAGTAATGCATCTGTCTCCGTAGTCTTGCCCCTGGAGTGGTTCTGAAGTGTGGGGGACTGGCCTTGTGACAGGAGAACGCACCGTGTCTCTTGCAGGGTGCCATTGTGGGCCTGTTGGCTGGACTCATCATGGCCTTCTGGGTTGGCATTGGAAGCATAGTGACCAGCATGGGCTCTGGCGAGGCATCTTCTTCCTTTAATGTGTCTGGCTTCTCCCTGCCCAGCAATCTGACCATTGCAACTGTGACCCCCCTGATGCCCCTGAGCACCCTCTCCAGGTGAGGTGGGGATTACTCCTTTTCTCTGTGGGGACAGTAGCTCAGTTATATGTTTGTCTTTGAGAGAGGATTTCACTATGTAGTTCGAGCTGGCTTGGAACTCCTGCCTCAGCCTCCTAAGTGCTGGGAATACAGGTGAGCGCCACCATGCCCATCCTAATAGCTCCGTTTCACTTCACAGGGGGCTTACTAAAAGATCAAGGCCTCAGAGAAGTGTTGGGTTCCAGACCAACCCAGTGGGTGGAGCTGGGAGCCTGAGAAGTGCCCTGTCGGCGGATTGCTAATTGTCCTCACCCCTGTGCTCTCTCCAGGCCCACAGGGCTGCAGCGGTTCTATTCCCTGTCTTATTTATGGTACAGCGCTCACAACTCCACTACTGTCATTGTGGTGGGCCTGATCGTCAGTCTGCTTACTGGTGAGGGTGTGGGGTTGCTGCACAGAGAAATGAGGAACTGGGGGAGTCTCTGGGGGTGCTGCCCTGGGAGCCCCGGGGGTTGGGAGCAGCCAGATCTGGGAGGTGGGTGGGGCTGGGATCTTGGATGGGGTCTTGGATGGGTCCAGAGGGTTCACCGTGCTGCAGACTCAGAAGCACCTTTGTCCACAGGGGGGATGCGGGGCCGGACCCTGAACCCTCGGACCATTTACCCTGTGCTGCCCAAACTCCGTGCCCTCCTGCCCTTGTCCTGTCAGAAGTGGCTTTGCTGCAGAAGCCACAGCCAGGTGGGACCCTTTGTCTCTTGATCCCCTCCCTTTCCATATAGGTCCCCTTCTGTGTCCCCTGTGCCCACGACCCCACTCTGACCATTTCCGATAGCTGTCACCCCAGCCTCCACCCACAGGGTGGGCTGTGCTGGAGGATGGGGGCCTGGCCATCCGACGGCCCTCCCCAGCCCCTGCCCCCTGTACCTACGCCTCCCTGTCCTCCCACTGCCCGTCCTGGTCTGGCTCCGCCCCTTCCCAGCAGGGGCACAGCAGGGCCCCTCCCTTTCCCGCATGCGTCCCTTGCCCACATTGCCTGCCCCGCTCTGCACCACCCAGGACGTCTCCGTGGACACCAGCTTGTTTCCGGAAAAGCTGAGGAATGGGGTGCTACAAGACAGTGGAGACAAGTGGGCGATGGCTGAAGATGGGCCAAGCCAGGAGGGGCTCAGTCCCACCTTCATCCTCCAGGAGACCTCACTGTGACGGGGACTAGGCTGAGGCCTCTGTCCTCACTGCCAGGCAGCAGCCAAGGGCCACTCCGTATTATGGGGCTGAGTCCCTTGATAGGTTGTACGGATTGGGTGTGATGACCTAGCCCACACTACAGCACCTTGCTCTTAAAGGTTCTTGCCTGCAATGGAAGCTACTGCATCTTGGGCATGTGTCCCTCGCTAGCCTGTTCTCTAGAAGACTGGGCTTGCAGGCAGAAGATTGTACCAGAAATGGGGATAGAAGCAAATCCTCTGAGAAAAGGGTAATGGCTTTGAGTCAACATGGCCAGGCCCCTTGGCATGATTATAACTGTCCTTGGAGCCCATTTGGCAAGGCAGACCAGTTCCAGCGTACAGAATGGAGCGACCTTGACCAGTTGTTGCTTCCCTTCTCATCCCATCTGGCACCTTCTCTGTCAACCACAGTGGCCCTGTGATTACTTTCCAGTTGTCTGTGACACCCAGTCTCCTCATTTTTTTGTCTACCTCTATTCTTGAGAAGGAGGGTTTGGTGTCCCTGGGCCTCTCAGAATAGGCAAGTACATTTATCCACTAGAGCAGGCAAGTTCTCCATGTCACTGACTCCCTTCTCCATTGCTAAGATGGCCACCTGGGGACAGGACTATGACCAGGTCCTCTGCAGTGTGCTGTCCCAACTCCTGAGCTGGGCCATCCTGGTGTCATTCTGCCTGTCATCCATGCTCCTGTTTCCTTTGGAGTTTCTTCCTTACATATCTTTGTTCCTAAGGAATAAAAACAGCCGTTAGCTCTAGAGTCAGGCCTCCTGTGCTGTTTCCAGTTGTCTTCTAAGCCCAGCCTCTGGAGGAGACCAAGCTCCTCCCATGTGGAGGGGTCGTCCCCTGCTGGGCAGGAGGCAGAGGGGATGGGGTGGAGCTTGGAGTCTGGCTGCCATGTCTGTGTGATAATTCAGGGTGGGAGGTGCTCTGTCCTGAGATTTCTGGCCCCCTGTGGTTGGTCTTTTCTGTCTCCATACTTGTCCTTTACCAAACCAACCTCTGATCCTCTGAGATTTTCATATTGGTGGCTAGAGGGAAAACACCAGGATTTGAGAAACAGAACATTCAAGCCGGACTTACTTTCATGGTCTTGTGAAGAATACTGCTTATGGCTCCTCAACCTGCTCTCTCCCGGTGCCTGGCCTGGCCTGGTCTGGTCCAGCCACCCAGCATGCCTCTGCAGGGCCTCTCAGTAGGGTCCTGTCCCAGGCAGGGCTGGGAGTTCCGCTGTGGCGCAGGCCTGTGGATCCCTGCCACAGGACAGCTGTTCTCCCACCATCCTGTGCAGCTTGGATGTTCTGTTTATATTCTACCTCGATTGCTTTATTTATTTAGGTAGTTGAGAGAGGACCTTGCTGTGTACTCAGGCTGGCCCTGAACTACTTGGCTTAAGTGATCTTCCTGCCTTTGCTTTTGGAATAACTTGGACCACAGCAACTGCCTCTACACCTGGCTACACTCCAACTTTCTAAGTCACTCCCCAGCCGTCTTTGTAGTGCTGTCCTGGTCAACCCTGTGGAGGAACAGGGCTCAGCATGCCCAGAGCTAGAACCCAGCCTGCCAACCCATATCAGGCTGCCAGTGGGCCTTGCATCTGCTGCCCTGTTTTTTGGTTTTTTTGTACATTTACATATATATAATGATAACATTCACCATAGGAAATTTGTGCCTGTACATGATATATCTTGCTCTTTTTTTCCCATTACCTTCTCTTCCCTTCACCTCTTCCCTCCTTATTTACAAAAGCTTTATTTCCATTTTATTCCCTTTTGTTCTTTTATTTTCCCTCTCCCCCTTCCCTTGTTCCCCTTCTCATTTGAACATTTTCTTCCCATTTCCCAATATCTATTGTACATTTGGGTCTTTATTTACACTTTTGATTTCTCACACCAGAGAATGTGATATTTAAACATGTGTCCCATTTATTTCACTTAGTATGGTGTCATGGTCCATCCATTGAGCTAGAAATATCTTAAGCTTATCTTTATGGCAGAGTAGTACTCTGTTGTGTTAAAAAAAAAATAACCTACATCTTTATCTATTCATCTGTTGATGAGCATTTGGGCTCTTTTCAAGATTTAGCTATTACAAATTCTGCTATAAACACCGGTGTGCATATATCACTGTGATATGATGCTTTTAATTATCTTGGGAAGATACCAAGAAGGGGAATAGCTGGGTCAAAGGGAACCTCTAGTTGTAGTTTTTTGAGGAATCTCCACACTGATTTCCATAGTGGTTGCGCCAGTCTACACTCCCACCAACAGTGGAGAAGGGTTCCTTTCCCCCACAGCTACACCAGCCTTTGTTACTGGCTAATTTCTTTTTTGTTCTTATTTTTGAGTCAGGGTCTCACTATGTAGTTCAGGCTGGACTTGAACTCACTTTGTAGCCCAGACTGGCCTCAAACTCACAGCAATACTGCCTCAGCCTCTTGAGTGCTGGGGATCATAGGTATGTGCCATCATACCCAGTAGATTGATTTCTTGATAATATCCATTCTTTAGTGAAATGAAATCTGTTTTACTTTGTATATCTTGAGTGACCAGTGATGTTGAACACTTTTTCATATGTTTGTTTGCCATTTCTAGTACATTCAAGAAGTATATTCAGTTCAGACACTCATTTTTGGATTGAGTCTTTAAGCTTGGGTCGTCTGATTTTTTGGAATGCCTTATATAGTCTAGATAGTGGTCCTTTGTGTGAGGGATAGCTGGCAAAAAATTTTTCCCACATTGTGGGTTATCTTCACTGTGTTGGTGGTTGGTTTTATTTTTGGTGTACAAAAGCTTTTTAATAAGGTAATATCCGAGTTGTTGATTGTGATATTTCCTGTACAATCAGGATTTCATTCATAAAGTCTTTGCTGACACCAAAGTCTTCAAGAATTTTATCTATTCAATCTTCTAGGAAATTTAGTGTTTCTGTTTTAACATTTAGATCTTTGATCCATTTTGATTTGAGTTTAGTGCATAGTGAAAGATATTAGTCTAGTTTTAATCTTTGGCATGTAGAAAGCCAGTTTTTCTAGAGCTATTTATTAAAGAGGCTATCTTTCAGTGAAAGTGTTTGGCTCCTTTGTCAAAGATGAGGTTGCTGAGTATGTTTGGAGTTGTTTCTGCATCTTCTAATTTGTTTCATTGGTCCCCAGATCTTTTTTTTGGCCAGTACCATGCTTTTTTAAATCATAGTAGATTTGTAGTATAGTTTCAAGTCAGGAATTGTGATGCCCCCTGCTGTGTCTTTTTGCCTAGAATTGCTTTTGTTACTCTAGGTCTGTTCTGGTTGCAAGTAAATTTTAGGATTGTTTTCTCTAATTCTGTGAGATATTCAGTTAGTATTTTGACCGGTTCAATCCCTGGTACCAAAAGAAAAAAAAAAAGTATTTTGACCGGGGTGGTGTTAAACCTGTATAACAATTTTGGAAGTATGGCTGTTTTCACTATATTGATTCTTCCTACCCAAGAACAAGGAATATCTTCCCATTTTCTAATATCCTGTGTTCCTTTTTCAGAGTACTGTGGTTTTCAATGTAAAAGTCTTTTACTTCCTTTGTTAGATTGATTCCTAGATATTTCATTTTGTTGGATGCTGTTGGGAAAGGTGTTCACCTCATTTCTTCGCAGTGAGTTTGTTATTTGTACAGTAACACTTGATTTTTAAATGTTTACTTTGTATCCAGCTACAATACTACTTTACTGAATTTGGTTATTAAATCTAGAAGTCTTTTGGTGGAGTTTTTGGGATCTTCTCTGTAAAGTATATCAACAAATAATGATAGTTTAACTTCTTCTTTTCCTATCTTTATTCCTTTTACTTCTTTCTCTTTTCTGATTATTCTGGCTAGTGTTTCCAGACTTACATTGATTGAATAAGAGTGTTGGTAATGAACATCCTTGTCTTGTTCCTGATTTTAGAGTGAAAGCTTTCGGTTTTTGTCCATTTAGTATGATACTGGCTGTTGGTTGTCATGGGTGGCTTTTATTAGATTGAGATAAAGACCATCTATCTATTCCAGTTTTCTGTAGTTTGTTAGACTTTGTCAAGTGCTTTTTCTGCATCTATTGAAATGATCATATGGTTTTTGACCTTGGCTCTATTAATACGTACTTACTGATTTTTGTATGTTGAACCATCCCTGCATCCCTGGGATGGTTATACACCATACTTGGTCATGGTGTATAATCTTTTTGATGATTTGTGGCATCCTGTTTGCCATTATCTTATTAAAGATTTTTGCATCTATGTTCATTAGGAAAATTTGCCTGTAGTTGTCTATTTTGGTCTTCTCTGATTTTGGTATCAGGGTCATACTTTCCTCTAGCAATGAATGTAGGATTATTGCTTCACTTTCAATTTTTTTTTTTTTTTTTTTGGTACTAGGGATTATACTCAGGACCTTATGCTTATGAGGCGGGCTGCAGCACAACTGAGCAAAATCCCCAGCCCTCCCTTTCAATTTCATTAAAGAGTTTGAGAGATTGAAGCATTAGATCTCTGAATTTCTCATAGGATTCAGCAGTGAATCTGTCATGGCCTGGGCTTTTCTTTTTTGGTAGGTTTTTAATTACATGCTCAATTTCATTAACATATTGGTTTATGTAGAATTTTTATATCTTATTGGCTCAGCTTTGGTAATTCCTATGTATCTAGAAATTTATCCATTTTTTTTCTGTATTCCCTCATACTAGATTATGGGTTCTCGAGGGGCCAACAATTCGGCTCAGTGGTTCCGCTGCCTGGCAAGTGCAAGGGCCTGAGTTCAACCCCTGGTACCAAAAAAAAAAAGCACTCCCTACAGCCTGCCTCTCATTCCTAATTGCACAGATTTGAGTCTTTTCCTTCCTTTTTTTGATAAGGTTGGCTAAAATTGTCAATTTTACTTCATCTTTCTTAGTCTTCATTGCATTAATTTCTGCTCTGATCTTTATAATTTCCTCCCTTGTATGAGTTCTGGATTTGACTGGTCAACCTCAAGGTTCAATATTAGGTTGTTTACTTGGGCCTGCTCTATTTTTCTGATATGGAATTTACCACTATAAATTTCCCTCATAGGACTTATTTTCTAACATCCCATAAGTTCTAGTATGTTGTATTGGCCTTATCACTTAATTGAAGGAACTCTGATGTCTTCTTTAATTTCATCTGTGACCCATTGGTTGTTCAGGAGAGTGTTATTTAATTTTCATGTGTTTATGAAGTTCCTATGGTTTCTTTTGCCATTGATTCCCAATTTCATTGCATTATGGTATGATAATATGCATGGGATAATTTCAATTTCTTTGCATTTACTTGTTCAATGAACTAGTATATGGTCTATTTTGGAGAACATCCCATGGGTAGCTGAGAAGAATTTGTATTCTGATGTTGTGGGGTGGAACACTCTGTAGACATGTACTAAGTCCTTTTGTTCAAAAGTTTGGTTCAGTTCTGATATTTCTTTGTTGATTTTTTTTTTTGTCTGATTGCTCTGTTTGTGACAGTGGAGTATTGAGGTGCCCCGTTATAATTGTATTAGAGTTTATTTGATTTTTCATGTCTGTTAATATTTGTTTTATATGGTTGTGTGTACTGGTATTTGGTGCATGTATATTTATGATTGCTATCTCTTCCCTTTGGATTTTTCCCTTTACAAGGAGGTAGTGACTTTTTTTCTCTCTTCATTGGTCTTGGCTTGAAATCTACTTTGTCTGCAAATAGAATAGCTACCCCTGCTTTTCTCTGGGTTCCTGTAGCATGAACTGTTGTTTTCTGTCCTTTGACTTTCAATCTCTGAATTTATAGCTGAATTAAATGTGTTTCTTTTGTTGTAAAAGGAACTGGTAAATGACACACAGAGATGCAGAAGTGGGTAAAACAAAACAAAACAAAAAAAACATTTACTTTGCTAGCAGAGGGTCGGCTTGCACCAAGGGCTGTGCCAAATGACCAACCCTGGGCTGGGTTACAATCTGCCTTTTAGAAGAGTTTTACAATCATGACCTCATTTTAGGTGATAAAACTTTCTAGTTCGCACAGTTCCCATCACAAATCATGGTCACAAATCAGTTCAGTGTTAACCCAAATGTAGCATTTTCTTTCAGGATGTTTATCTTTAGCTATTCCAGCCCACAAAAGTGGAGGTCAGGGTTAGGAAAGCAGTACTGGTGACATTTCTTTCATCTGAACTCCTTTATAGTCGTATAGTTTACGTAAAGTTTTAGGGCTGAGGCACTGTTATCTTAGCTGGAACATTTGGTCTTATCCTGGAATGCAGCTAAGCACCTCTAGCATCTGTTAATTTTAAACTGGGGCTATGTGCCTTTAAGCTTTAATGGTGAAACCTTGGGTATTTTCTTAAACAAGAAAAGCAAAGCAAATTATAGAAGCAAAAGACAGTGGTTATTCTATATTTTCTTTAACATTTTGTTCGTCTCAGACTACAGAAGTTCTATCACTTCTTTAAAATTAAATGTGTTTCTTATATGCAGCATATTGTTGGATCTTGCTTCTTGATCTATACTGTTTCTTTTGATTAGTGAATTAAGACCATTTACACTGATAGTTAAATCTCCAGAAGTAAGAATTTCTATTCTATGTGGACTTTAGATAATCTGTCATGAGAGTAACTGGCAGGCTTCAGATATGTCTGTTAGTGCTATCACATCTCAGACATGCCTGGTGGGACCT